ATTTGGGAAGGGTTTTTTGACTTTTTGACTTTTTTGAGTTTTTTTGTAAGAGAAGAATGTAATAATTATGGGTTGGATGTGATGTTTTGTTTGTTATGACTAAAATAGCCTATTTTATCTTTTGTGACTAAAATAACCAAAAAAACCAAAGAACCAACTTGCCAAACAGAGTGAAGTTGGTGATAAACTCTTAGCCCAGACTGCTTGGAGAGAAATTAAACAATATTCCATTTGGGTAAAGTACTTGGGCCAAGTTTGGGAAGACTAAAAAAGTGCACTTTTTGTCTTTTTGGACTAAAAAATTGAGGTTGAAAATATGGATGTTTGGGTTAACTTTTTGACTTTTTATTGGAAAATGTGTAATAAAAAAGGATGTTTGGGTTACTCTGTTCCAAAGACCTGAGGTCATTTTTTATATGGACTTTTTTCTCTTATATATAAATAAAAAATCATATTGATTCAATAATTATAATTATATAAATTTATTATATTTGTATTAAATCAAAATTGTCATTGTTTATTATTTTTAAAAATAAATGTAATAAAATCATATGATTATGATAAATAAATAAATATATTTTTTTTTCATAAATAATCTACATAAATATCTAAAAAATTAGCGAAAATCAAATTATTAAGCCTCCGTTTGGGAAGTGGATTGGCTTTTTGGCTTTTTAGCTTTTTTGGCTATTTTAGCCTGGACTTAAAAACTTGGTTTGGAAAGGGCTTTTTGACTTTTTGGCTTTTTTGAGTTTTTTTGTGAGAGAAGAATGTAATGATTATGGGTTGGATGTGATGTTTTATTTGTTATGACTAAAATAATCTATTTTATCTTTTGTGACTAAAATAACCAAAAAAACCCAAGAACCAACTTGCCAAACAGAGTGAAGTTGGTGATAAACTCTTAGCCCAGACTGCTTGGAGAGAAATTAAACAATATTCCATTTGGGTAAAGTACTTGGTTAATCTCACTGAATACTCAGTTAATGATTTCATTTTTTTCTAGAAAGGAATTAAGCTCATGCGAATCAAAGCTTGTCACTGATTTAGGCCACTTTTGGCCTATTTTGGAAAGATGGTAAAAGTAATTTTTTTGATTTTTAATCAATTTTTTGATTTTTTTAGTCAAATGATTTAGAAAATTGGTAAAAAGTGACTTTTAACTTTTTTGATTAATATTTGTTTATGATGTCAAATCATAATAAAATGACTAAACTATCCCCATTTAGTTTAAAATATTTACAACTTTACCCATATAACACATTTTGACCCATGAGAAATAGAATTGTAATTTTACCACTGACTAAAAACCAACTTCTCAAATGAAAAAAAAAATTCAAAAAAGTCAACTTTTGACTTTTGCTACAACCAAAACAAGTGGCTAAAAGTCAACTTTCCAAAACAACTTTCCAAAACAAGCCTTTGATGTATTTTGGTTGGGGCCTCGCCTATCTGTTGTTTTGGTATGCACATGATTGGATTGGAGAGTAGGGGTGTGTTTGATTAGAGGGATTAGGGGGGACTATTCACTATTCGGATTGTTTATCCGAAGGAGTAAGTAGTCCATCGTTTGTTTTTTTTTTTAGTCCGCCGGACATGGAGTCCGGCCTGACTCCTTATCCCCCATATGGGGGATTATACTATCCCGGGAGGGTGTGGGACAGTTTTAGGAGGATTATTTACTGTTGGGATTAGGTGATAAAATGATAATTTTGACCCTCTACTATTTAATTATGAATTATATTTAAAAAATAAAATAAAATAAAATTTTATTTAATCTAGCTAAAAAATTTAAATATTAAAGATATGTTTAATATTACTATTACTTAGTAAACAATTAAAAAAAGATAAAATAGTCCTTTGTTCATTTATCCTATCCAGTCCGTCCAAACAAACGTTGGATTCACTAAAAATAGTCTTTTCTAGACATCTAATCTCATGAAAAAACAAACACAGGATACATATTCAATCCAATCAAATAGTCCGGGGGATTCACAGTCTCAGGACTCAAATCTGATAGATTCTAATCTCCCATTATCCAATCCTTCTAATCAAACGGTCAACATAATTAGAATGTACTGTTCAAGCAATGATGCAAACATTACCTTACTGTTCTATTGTTATAAGCTATTGGGTTGTTAATAATACTTTAATTTGGCTGATCAAGTGTGTTTGGTTTGAGTTATCTGGATTAAATTTTTTTAAAATTGAGTTTTTTAGTTTTTGTGTTATTTTGTTTTTAGTGAATATTTTTAAAATTTTAAACATTTTTTTTTTACTTTTTTAGATATGCACCTTACTTGAATGTATCTAAAAAGTAAAAAATTTGTGAAAAAATATTTTAAAAAATTAATAAATACATAAAAATATAAAAAATGTACTGAATTCTTATATTTTTTTTTATATTTTTGGTATTTAGTGAATTTTTAAAAGATTTTTTTTTATAATTTTTTTACTTTTTAGGTATATTTATGTTAAGTGTGTCTAAAAAGTAAAAAAATTACTTAAAATATTTAAAAAATTTAATAAAAATAAAAAAATACGAAGAATAAGGAAGTAGAATTTTCTTTGTTTGTGTGTTGCTAATTTGATCCTCAAAACTAAAAGTAATAGTTTCAAAGCTTTGTTCTGTTCTGTTATGAGCTCATACTCATCCATTTAAGTAAACTGTGTATATCCGTCCCGTTTAGTAGAGTCGTGGAAAAGTGATTATAATTTATAATTTAACAGTTTATAGCTTATAACTGTGAACATAAGTTAATTTTTGACTTATAAATTAAGCTTCTCATCCTCCACTCAAAAAATAAGTTAATTTTCGACTTACAAAAAATTATAAGTTATATTATTAAACTGAACCAAATACATCAAAATAATTTAAATTAAATTAAAAACTGAAATAAACTGAAAATAAACCCTACCAAACAGCTTCATCATCACATCACCTCACAGGCCCCTTAACTCACGGTACACCCATATTGACTTGAGAATGCAACTTAAAAAATAAAAATAAAAATTGAGCCTTCTATTAAAATTTAGAATGGACCGCTAAATATATATTATAAATTATAATAAAATAAAATGAAAAAAGATTCCCTCAATAAAAGTAAAACTAAAGTCAAGGCACAAGGCCTATATTAAGGCCAAGTTTAGGGACTTCAAAAAAAGTCAAAAAGTCAAAAAGTTACTCAAAAAGTTAAAAAATTAACACAAAATAAAAATAAAAATTGAGCCTTCTATTAAAATTTAGAATGGACCGCTAAATATATATTATAAATTATAATAAAATAAAATGAAAAAAGATTCCCTCAATAAAAGTAAAACTAAAGTCAAGGCACAAGGCCTATATTAAAATGAGGTTTAAGAACGACAACATACACTCTATTCATATCTTATCATTCAAATAGAAGAGGTTCTAAATATATTCAATAAAAATATTTCTGCATTCACATGTACAAAAAAATAATGCATAAAATACAAAAATGATAATCTACGTGATAGATGTAGAGAGAAATTTCAAGATGCTCGCTCAAATATAATGAAAACGAAAATAAAAATCTTATAATACCCTTAATCTTTTGGAGCAATTACAAGACAATGGAAGCTGGAAAAATTATTTATCAAAATATGAGGTTGAAACTTTCGTTGTGATTTTTTTGCATAGAAAAAACTACACGATTTTGTGGTGGTTTGTTTGTATAAAATAAAAATTAAAAAAATCGCACTCCCATATATTTATAATTATTTTTGGTCTATTATAATTTTTTCTAATTTCTTTAGTTCTATTATTATATTATATTACTCATAGTCCTGACTACTCCATAGATAACAATGTGCTTAAATAGTTTCCAAATTCGATATTACCTCAAAAAGAATAGCTTCTCTTTGGTCCACTATTGTGGACTAGATCAAACAATCACATAGTGGTTGTTTGGAAAGTTGTTATTTTAATAGGTTTTTTTAGTTTTTGATTATTTTTGGAGAAATTTTTTTTTGTGTTTGGAAAAATAGTTGAATTTTTTTATAGTTTGATGTGATATTTGTGAGAGAAAAAGTGAAATGATTATGAATTTGATGTGAAATTTTGTCTGGATTTGTTTTTTTTTTAATGACGGGACCCACTGCCACCTAATTAGTGGGAGCACTAATTAGTGCTCCCAAGCATTTTTCATTCTATATTACCTCAAAAAGAATAGCTTCTCTTTGGTCCACTATTATTGTGGACTAGACCAAACAACCAGATACTTGTTCGTTCTTTTTTCCTTTTTGCTCTTTTTCATTAATTCATATGTGATAAAATCATGTATTTACAAGTATCTAATTCTTCTTCTTCTTCTTTTTTATTTTATATATATATATATATATATGATCTATCTATAACTATTTATAATATAAATAATTTGAATTATGAAAATAACATCTAAATTGGGCTCACGTAATGAATTAGATGGTTCGGTCCAATAGACTAAAAAGCCGAACTTTTGTTAATGAATTATAAAATTTAAATTATGAATCTTTAATATTTCTCAATATTTATGTTGGGAATATTGTAGCCAACCAATTTTGTCCCTCAAAGAACATTCCATTAGTTTTTCGGACAGCCTTGAAAGTCATTCCCGGTCATACGGAGCTAAGCTAACCTGGTCTTCTTTATACACACCTAATCATCATTAACATTCATTGATCCACAACCATTTTCCTTAAAAACTATTCTGCTCACATTAAATTATCCAACACAGTTTGAATTCAAACATAGGATATGATTGAGACCCCTTCAAAACTCACAACCCCCGACCTGACACATGGGGGTTGGAGATTGGGAGAGAAGAAAAAAATAAAAATAAAAATAAAAAATTGACCAATCAAAAGCAAAGGAGTCATGGGGGTGAATCTCAGAGGGGGTCCGAATCTTTTTCCTTCAAACATTATTCACAATATTTTCTTTCTTTATATATACTGGCTGTGCACAAAGATTGTGTGTCAGAAATACAACCACCAGAGAGAGAGAGAGAGAGTTGAAACTCCATTGAAGAAAAAATGAGTGAAGTGCAGGAGATAATTTCAGTGCCAGCAACGCCAAGGCCGGCAACTGTAGCACCAACACCGCTATCACTGCCTGTGGGTTGTCCTCCCACTCAGTATAATTCCCCATCGTTGGCAAGATCACCTCTTCTCGATACAGATGAGTTGGTTGAACCACCACTACCACTTCCACCACCACCAAACAAGAGCACTCCTAGGAGTGGCGGAGCAACCCCGAGAATGTCACTAACACCGCGGTTCATATCCCCATTGGGAAGTCCGATAAGGAGGGCTTTGCATCTCACAAAGCTTGATCCTCAGGATGCTTGGCTACCCATCACTGAGTCACGGAATGGCAACGCTTACTATGCTGCTTTCCACACTCTCTGCACCGGGATTGGGGTTCAAGCTCTTGCTCTCCCTGTCGCCTTCACCATCCTTGGCTGGTAACACTAACTAAAAGCTTGTCTTTCCTAACATTATTTTGAAAAAAATTTGGTATTCACCTCACCTTCTTAAGATTTTATTTGTTTGAAAAGTAGTAGTGGTATTATAGGTTGTATTGTATAATTTTTTTTTTTTTTTGTTGCATGTATATTCTCCCTCCTCAAATTAGAATTATGTACCCATCGATGCACATAATTGGCCGATATGTATCAAATTTGTCTTTCTGATGCCGATATACCCAATATACAAGTTAGAATGAAAATTACATGCATATCATTCAATTCTCAATATGAATTGATTCATCGCTGATTCACAGTCAATATAGCAGGTCAACTGTTCTAAACCTTTTTTTTTTTTTTTGCTACTAATAATTTTAAAAACTTAACAACCACAATACTCGATTCCCAATATATATCTCTTGATATTTCCGATATCATACCACTATTTAAAGTATCCATTTATGCTAGTTAGTTCACTATTTCTTAAGCATAAGTTATTTTTTGAGGAAATTACAAGACAATAGAAAGTGGGAATTTTTTTTATGCAACTTTTGGTATATTTTTGGTGCAGAAAAAATTGCATCTCTCATATATTTGTAATTAGTTTCTAGCTTTCTACACTGGCTTGTAATTTTTATTTATATTTTTCACTATCATATATAATATTTTGAATTGTCACCGATTGTTTGGGTAACTGGTTGCAGGGCATGGGGAACAATTTGCTTGACAATAACATTCATCTGGCAGCTATACACCCTTTGGGCGCTGGTCCACCTCCATGAATCAACCGAAACTGGGATGCGCTACAGCAGATACCTCGACCTCTGCTGTGCTACATTTGGTATGACAATTTTCATTTATATTGCACGGTTTTAGATTCAAGGCACATATTAGCATCAGTCAATATCAAACAGTATTTATCAATATATCAGAAGTATAAAATCGCTCATACATTGGTGAATTATTATTAAATAAATTGTAGTATATTAATGTTAATTGTTGGTGGTGTATGCAATTAACTGCCATGTCTATCTCAGGTGACAAGCTAGGGAATTGGTTGTCCCTATTCCCAATCATGTACCTCTCCGGTGGGACGTGCGTCACGCTGATCATAATCGGTGGTTCAACTGCAAATATCTTCTTCCAACTGGCTTGCGGCGCTACATGCTCGATGAAGCCGTTGACTGCGGTGGAATGGTACTTGGTGTTTACGTGCGCGGTGGTGGTACTGTGTCAGCTGCCCAACTTGAACTCCATAGCAGGGGTGTCTCTGGTTGGGGCCATTACTGCAGTAGGGTATTGTACATCAATGTGGGTGGTGTCCCTTGTAAAGGGTAGGCTTCCAGGGGTGTCCTACCATCCCGTGAGTGCAAGCAATGATGTTGCTAAATTTTTCCTGGTCCTCAATGGACTTGGGATCATTGCTTTTGCTTTTAGGGGTCATAATCTTATCCTTGAAATACAGGTATATTATTTTTTTTCTTTTTTTGACAAATTTTTACTTTTAAAATTCGTCTTGACTAATTTTCTTTTAAAAATATTTAAAATAAAAAGTAGATTTTTTTTTTTAATATTTAAATTCCATTGAAGATGAAAAAATGATTTCAGAAATATTTTGTCCCCGGAAAGTATAGAATTTAGATATGTACATCTTTAATATATTTCATCTTTTTACACAAACATATAAAGAATATCAAATTTTTATTATTTTATTTGAATACTATAGATAATTAACTCACCGCATCAAAAAACCAATTTAAATTTGGGAAGTATTGAGGAATTTCTTCATCACACCAGTTTTATATTTTTCTTTTTCATTTTGGTGGTTGGTTTGCTGATAGTATTTTTGTACTTTCTATAATTTTTTATTATTTTAAAAAAAGGAAGTCAGCTTCCACAGAAAGTGACCACCAGTTACATCTTCGGACGATCCCTCTAGTTGAGGTTTTGGTTGGACTTTGGATTCATGAAACTCACGAATTTTGTTTTGATAATTTATATTATTTATTTTGTTAGATATTTTATATATTTTATTTATATAAAAAATTAAATTGATCTAATAATTATAATTTACTTAATTTAGTGTGTTTTTAATCAAAAAAATATATGATTTATTTTTAAAAATACAAATCTTTTTAATTAAAAAGCGATAAATTAGATAAGTTATAATTATAAGATCGATCTAATTTTTATTGATAAAATATACAAAATATTTAATAAAATGAACAATTCTAATTATCGAAACGACATTCATGATAAGCAAATGCAAATAATACCCTTGGATCTACAATCTGGACTCAGATCCTCCTCCTACATCTTTTACCCTTTCATTTGTTTGCTTATTCGAAGAAGTTGTTCCATATTTCCTATGAAAAAAACTGACGTTTGACTTTTTGCTTTCTTATTGCTTTCTGTTCAATTTTTCACAAAACCGAAAAATTAATTTTTTAAAAAAAATTATAAAAATAATTCAGAAAAGACAAAAATAAATCAAAAATAGTGAACTTTTTGGCTTATTTGGGAATTTTTTAATTTTGTTTGCTACTAAATTTTTTTTTTTACCTTTTAGATTTGTCTGGACAAGACGAATCAGAAAAATAAGAAAAAGAACATAATTTTGAAAAAATGTCACTAAGAACAACAAAATTTAAAAAAAAATATGACTTATTTGAAAGTTTCAAGCAACTAAAAGTTTATCTTTAAAGCCCGCACGGTCAAAACATAAGATGGAAACTCTTCCGTTATTATTTTGGAAGAATGTCTGATTGTTTAGTGTCATTTTTGCTATAGTTTATAAGAAAAAAATAATTTAAGTAAGTTTTAAAAGTCTTATCATTAGAAAACTGAAGAACATGTATTTTTAACTCGTGTTTTTTATTATTTACTTTCAGATTACAGAAAATTACACCAAGTGGGCTTAATGTGCTTATATGATCCCAAAAAAAAATAAAAATAATTATAGAAAAATCATGAAACTCAGGTAGATTGCCCCAGTGCTAATTGAACTCAGTAACCTTCAAGTTTACCAATACTAGTAAATTGATATTTTTAGAATTCCATATATTGGGGTTCCTCGTTGTTGCATTGCAAGGATGAGTCCATATGGCCTATTTCTTGTATAGATTGCTGGTTATAAAATAAATAAGTCAAGGTAGCTGAAATTTAATAGTGACTCTTTCTCATATATATATATACAACTTAATTTTGCAGGGCACCATGCCTTCCAGTGAGAAGTATCCATCTCATGTGCCGATGTGGAAGGGAGTGAAGGTGCTAAAAATACTATAGATTAAGATAAGATTATATCTGAATTTAAGTCTTTTTCTTTTCTTAGTCTTTGATTTCTTGCCTCTTTTCTATGAATCACAAGTCTTTTGACATTATTATGCAGTTCTGATACTTGATTAAGATTAAACTTAAAATTTTCAGTCTCTACACTTTTAGAATCTACATAAATTTACGTTCAAAAAATATACTTTCCATTGCTCTAGGGCCTAACTTTGTTCTCTTAGGATCTAGTACCCTATAATATGCCAAACCCCCCACCCCCACTTTGAGGCTTCACTGCAACAAATGACATTTTTTACGACTAAATTTTTAATTATCAAAAGTTGGATTTTAGTCACCGAAACGTGTTAGCGACTAAAATTTTTGATCGTCAGATTAAATGTTGAATAATTGTCGAAAAAGGTAATTGGTAACTAAAAAAAATTTAGTCGTCGAAAGTTCTCAATTGCCAACTAATTTTTTAGTAGCCAAAGGCTTTCAAAACAAATTAATATTGCATTTTCGGCAACAAAAATAGTTAGTCACCAAAAACGAAATTATTTAGGGTGACTAAAGTTTTGATCGCCAAATTTTTTTTTTGTTCATCTTATTTTTTTTTTAGCTACTAAATATTTAGTTGCCTAAAGTCCTTTTTTTTTTTTTTTGCTACTAATAATTTTAAAAACTTAACAACCACAATACTCGATTCCCAATATGTATCTCTTGATATTTCCGATATCATACCACTATTTAAAGTATCCATTTATGCTAGTTAGTTCACTATTTCTTAAGCATAAGTTATTTTTTGAGGAAATTACAAGACAATAGAAAGTGGGAATTTTTTTTATGCAACTTTTGGTATATTTTTGGTGCAGAAAAAATTGCATCTCTCATATATTTGTAATTAGTTTCTAGCTTTCTACACTGGCTTGTAATTTTTATTTATATTTTTCACTATCATATATAATATTTTGAATTGTCACCGATTGTTTGGGTAACTGGTTGCAGGGCATGGGGAACAATTTGCTTGACAATAACATTCATCTGGCAGCTATACACCCTTTGGGCGCTGGTCCACCTCCATGAATCAACCGAAACTGGGATGCGCTACAGCAGATACCTCGACCTCTGCTGTGCTACATTTGGTATGACAATTTTCATTTATGTTGCACGGTTTTAGATTCAAGACACATATTAGCATCAGTCAATATCAAACAGTATTTATCAATATATCAGAAGTATAAAATCGCTCATACATTGGTGAATTATTATTAAATAAATTGTAGTATATTAATGTTAATTGTTGGTGGTGTATGCAATTAACTGCCATGTCTATCTCAGGTGACAAGCTAGGGAATTGGTTGTCCCTATTCCCAATCATGTACCTCTCCGGTGGGACGTGCGTCACGCTGATCATAATCGGTGGTTCAACTGCAAATATCTTCTTCCAACTGGCTTGCGGCGCTACATGCTCGATGAAGCCGTTGACTGCGGTGGAATGGTACTTGGTGTTTACGTGCGCGGTGGTGGTACTGTGTCAGCTGCCCAACTTGAACTCCATAGCAGGGGTGTCTCTGGTTGGGGCCATTACTGCAGTAGGGTATTGTACATCAATGTGGGTGGTGTCCCTTGTAAAGGGTAGGCTTCCAGGGGTGTCCTACCATCCCGTGAGTGCAAGCAATGATGTTGCTAAATTTTTCCTGGTCCTCAATGGACTTGGGATCATTGCTTTTGCTTTTAGGGGTCATAATCTTATCCTTGAGATACAGGTAAATTATTTTTTTCTTTTTTTTTTCTTTTTTTGACAAATTTTTACTTTTAAAATTCGTCTTGACTAATTGTCTTTTAAATAAATATTTAAAATAAAAAGTAGATTTTTTTTTTATTTTTATATTTAAATTCCATTGAAGATGAAAAAATGATTTCAGAAATATTTTGTCCCCGGCAAGTATAGAATTTAGATACGGACATCTTTAATATATTTAATCTTTTTACACAAACATATAAAGAATATCAAATTATTATGATTTTATTTGAATGCTATAAATTAATAACTCACCGCATCAAAAAACCAATTCAAATTTGGGAAGTATTGACGAATTTCTTCATCACATCAGTTTTATATTTTTGTACTTTCTATAATTTTTTATTATTTTAAAAAAAGGAAGTCAGCTTCCACAGAATGTCACCACCAGTAATATCTTCGGGAGAATCCCTCCGGTTTAGATTTTGATTGGATTTTTTTGGTTCATGAAATTCATCACGAATCTTATTTTAATAATTCAAATCATTTATTTTGTCAAGTATTTTATGTATTTTATTTTTATAAAAAATTAAATTGATCTGATAATTATAACTTACTCAATTTACTACATTGTTAATCAAAAAAATATATGATTTATTTTTAAAAATATAAAAAAAATTTAACTAAAAACACGATAAATTAAACCAATTACAATTATAAGATCGATCTAATTTTATTGATGAAATATATAAAGTATCTGATAAAATAAACAGTTTAAATTATCAAAACGAGACTCATGATAGACTCTACGAATTCCATCAACCCTCTATAATCCAAAATCTGTACTCAGGAGATCCCCTACATGTTTTTCCCTTTTCCTTTGTTTGTTTATTCGAAGAAGTTGTTCAACTTCCATATTTCTTATGAAAAAAACTGACGTTTGACTTTTTGCTTTGTAATTGTTTTCTGTTCAATTTTTCACAAAACAGAAAAATTAATTTTTTTAAAAAAATTATACAAATAATTCAGAAAAGACAAAAACAAGTCAAAAATATTGGACTCGTTGGCTTATTTGGGAATTTTTTTAATTTTCTTTGGTATTAATTAATTTTTTTGACCTTTTAGATTTGTCTGTACAAGATCAATCAAAAAAAATATAAAAAATAACATAATTTTGAAAAAATATCACTAAAGACAACAAAATTCGAAAAAAAATATGACTTATTTGAAAGTTTCCAAACAACTAAAAGTTCTTCAAAGCCCACATGGTCAAAACATAAGATGGAAACTCTTCCGTTATTATTTTGGGAGAATGTCAGATTGTTTAGTTTATTTTTGCTATAATTTATAAGAAAAAAATAATTTAGAGAAGTTTTAAAAGTCTTATTATTAGAAAACTGAAGAACATGTATTTTTAACTTGTGTTTTTCATTATTTACTTTCAGATTGCAGAAAATTACACCAAGTGGGCTTAATGTGCTTATATGATCCAAAAAAATAAAAATAATTATAGAAAAATCATGAAACTTTATTATTTGGGTGCAGGTAGATTGCCTCAGTGCTAATTGAACTCAAGAACCTCCAAGTTTACCAATACTAGTAAATTGATATTTTTCAAATTCCATATATATATCGGGGTTCCTCGTTGTTGCAAGGATGAGTCCATATGGCCTATTTCTTGTATAGATTGCTGGTTATAAAATAAATAAGTCAAGGTAGCTGAAATTTAATGGTGACTCTTTCTCATATATATATACAACTTAATTTTGCAGGGCACCATGCCTTCAAGTGAGAAGTATCCATCTCATGTGCCGATGTGGAAGGGAGTGAAGGTTGCATATCTCCTCATTGCACTGTGCTTATTTCCCCTTGCTATAGCTGGTTACTGGGCTTATGGTCACTTGGTAATTAATTAAACACTATTCTAATTAAAACATCATACTTCAATTGCTCATTTTTCAGTTGACAATAATACTAGCTAGTATGGTTTTAAATAACCGTATCAGGATTAGTACCTCAAGTACTGTATTCTAAAGCAAGTTTTCTTTGACATCTACCAGATACCAAATGGCGGGATGCTCTCAGCCTTGTTCCAATTTCATTCACGCGACCTCTCAAAACCCGTGCTAGAACTCATATGCTTGTTCATCATAATAAATGCATTGAGCTCATTCCAGATATACGGCATGCCAGTGATCGATCACATGGAGTCACATTACACTAGCAGGATGAAGAAGCCGTGCTCTTGGTGGATCCGGTCACTGATCCGTGCCATGTTCACGTTCGGTTCCTTCTTCTTTGCAGTGGCAATCCCGTTCTTGGGAAGCCTAGCAGGCCTGCTCGGAGGCATAGCGCTGCCTGTCACGCTCGCATTCCCGTGCTTCATGTGGCTCAAGATGAAGAAACCAAAGAAGTACAGTGGGATGTGGTGGCTTAACTGGGGACTTGGATTGTTAGGCGTAGGTTTGACTGTTTTTATCATTGCTGGAGGGGTCTATGTTGTGATCACCACTGGTATTAAAGTCAGTTTCTTCAAGCCTGCTGTCTAGAAAAAAATTAACCATTTAAAAGAACTTCTAAGAGAAAGGAGTTCTTATTAATTTTCCTTACAATTTTTTAAATTTTTTTTATAGTTTTTGGGTTTATTTTGTTTGTTTTGGTGAAGTTATGCATATTTGTTGTTTGTTGTTTGTTGTGTTCGAAATTTCCTAAAGGGGAAATGTAGGATACCATTGAATGGTACAGTGTATGTATTGTTGGAAATGGTTAATTTTTTCCTAAGTTAGGTCTATTTTTAGGTGGGCCCCGAGTGTCGATTAACTCGGGTTAAAGTGGTAATGCGTTCTATGCCGCGTTGTGATTCACGTGGTATATTTGGTTGCTCAAAACCATTACCGAGTGAATGGGAAATTGAAGCCAAAGTGTGCTCCATGAAAATGGAGTTTTGGTGGAAATTCCTTAAGGTTGTAAATTGGCTTGTCCCACATTGATTTGGTGGGAGGTTTTGAAAGGGTTTATAAGGCTTAGGGTGAGATACTTGGGGTGTGCCCCAAGGGGTACCCAAGTGTTTTAGAGGGAGAGGTTATGGGCAAAATGGGCTAGACCCATTGGACCCAAAAATCACCACACACGCGCGCGCGCGCCGCCGCCGCCGTCCGTCCGGTCGCGCGGGTGCGTGGTGTGTGGTTGGGTTGGGCTTCTAATCTTTTTGGGCCAAAAACATTTGAATTTAATTTTATTTTTTATTAAAATAAAATCTAAAATTCAAAATTAAATTGGTTTGGATTTTTTGTTCATCCAAACAGGGCCCTTCCCGGTTTCAAACAGAAATAAACTGTTTTGGAATTAATGCACACCCAAACAGGGCCCTTCCCGATTTCAAACAGAAATAAACTGTTTTGAA